CCATTGGCTTTCACCGTTTCGGATCTGGCATTCGCCGGTCACTCGTTTCCTGAAAACACTAGGATTTCAACCAGAAGTTCTACATCGAGCGCATCCCGTACTTCCTACTCGCGAGGACTAATTGCTGCGTAGTGAGCTGTTTGAAAATTCTTTGTTTTTAATATGTTATAAAGCTAAACTATAGTTCAAACTTCAAACTAAACTAAACTCTAAACTTTAAACTAAACCATAGCTCAAAGTCCAAACTATAGTGCCGGTTCGATTCCGCTTCGGGCTCACCAAAGCTCTCATCATTTCGGGGTCGGGAAGATGCTAGTGGGCTTGTCCAGGAAAAAATCATTCTCTGCTGCCCATTTGGGAACACAGTAGTCCAGCTATCTCAGGACCATAGGGAGAATCGTCTCGACCAGCATTCAACGTCAATCATGATGAAAGGAAATCCTCGAGCAGAAGCCAAAGCCACAGGTAAAATTTCGAAGACCTTCGTGGATGAGGAATGTGAGGAAACGAATGGAATGTGAGGAAACGAATGGAATTTGAGAAGTGCTGGAATCCGCACAGTAGACATAAAAGAAGAGTCGTATAAGAGAAATTTGTTATGTGGCAGGTAACATTATTCCGATTGTTGGAGGATGAACCGTCCCGATGAAAACGAATAATTTTGGACGATATTCAACCAGGAAACGTGCTGGAACCCATAATGCTGTCGGCTGAGAACGGAAAGAACAAAACAAGATGGCATTTTATGCCATTTCATTCGTATAGTGGTCTACTTGACTCCATTCGAATGCAAAGACGAACAGTGTAAAAAAAAACAATAGCTATTTTCACTGGATTCCAATCACTTTTAGACAAAGCAATGCCGGCGAAATAGGATTTCGAACAACCTCGCGTCAGCTTATGAACAAAAAAAAACTTGAATGAAAAGCTGACGCGAGGTTAGTACAGATCTTCGTTGTCGTTGTCGTTGTTTTTGATGTTATTGATCGATGGCTGACGTTTCGGCGACTTCGCCTTCCTCAGAGCCTGGACGTACTTTATGTTAGAATACTTTTTATTATTCGGTGGAAAAGAAGGTTAAAGTACTAATGAAGATTAAACTTTCAAATAGACGCCATATTGAACACAAAGGCCACTCACCGTGATGTTACGTGCGGGACTGGCCCACACGTAGTTCACGTGGAGTCGCGAGCAAGACACGCCCCGGGGTCAAAATATCATTTTGAAATAGGGCGCCAGGTCACGCGTGATAGTGAGGCATTCGTCCTTCCGGTTCATCTTTGGGTTTTTGAAAATTATCCAAAACGCCTCAAGAGTTTTGCGCGTTGATATTTTTAATTCCTGCGCTAGGATCCGCACATTCACTTCAAAATCATCGCCGCTGTGCTTTCGTGCTCTATGCGTACCTAGAGGGGTGTTTAAACGGATTTTAGCTTTTCCATCTAGATGTTCTTTTATGCGGACACAAAGTGGTCTACCCGTTTCCCCGATGTATTCCTCGCCGCATGCATTACATGAGATCAAGTATATTATACCTAAACTCATGCAATCCCCGTCNTTATCCAAAACGCCTCAAGAGTTTTGCGCGTTGATATTTTTAATTCCTGCGCTAGGATCCGCACATTCACTTCAAAATCATCGCCGTTGTGCTTTCGTGCCCTATGCGTACCTAGAGGGGTGTTTAAACGGATTTTAGCTTTTCCATCTAGATGTTCTTTTATGCGGACACAAAGTGGTCTACCCGTTTCCCCGATGTATTCCTCGCCGCATGCATTACATGAGATCAAGTATATTATACCTAAACTCATGCAATCCCCGTCTCTACCGTTGGGACAGATCATACAGTTTTCTGAGTCAACTAGAATGTTTTTACTACTTGGCTTGCGATACCATTTTGTTACATAGCCACTTACTGAGAGTATCGCAAGCCAAATAGTAAAAACATTCTAGTTCACTGCCTCTCCTCTCATCCTTAACACATGAAAAAAGCACTTATCAAAAATACGTATCGTACGGCTAAAAATGTGTGTATAGGAGAAGAGGAAAGGAAGGAATCGCGAAGCCTGGCACGAAAAATTGCCATTTCCATTGGCTACGAAGTAGGAGCCACTCGGGTTAGAGGAAGACATTGGGTAGTTTCCCAAAATAATATTTCAGACGAAAGTAGGATCCCCTTTAAGCTGCCCTTCATATCAAATGAAGTAAGTCACGCCATTAAAAAGTGCTTAAGAAAAAGTGGTCTTGAAAATTATGTAACGATTATTGACATCCCACCCAATACCTTACGCAGCCAGTTAGTTCGAAACCGTCTCTATGATCGTTTGTGCAGCTCAGAAAACTGTATGATCTGTCCTAACGGGAGAGACGGGGATTGCATGAGTTTAGGTATAATATACTTGATCTAATGTAATGCATGCGGCGAGGAATATATCGGGGAAACGGGTAGACCACTTTGTGTCCGCATAAAAGAACATCTAGATGGAAAAGCTAAAATCCGTTTAAACACCCCTCTAGGTACGCATAGGGCACAAAAGCACAACGGCGATGATTTTGAAGTGAATGAGCGGATCCTAGCGCAGGAATTAAAAATATCAACGCGCAAAACTCTTGAGGCGTTTTGGATAAATTTCAAAAATTCAAAGATGAACCGGAAGGACGAATGCCTCACTATCACGCGTGACCTGGCGCCCTATTTCAAAATGATATTTTGACCCCGGGGCGTGTCTTGCTCGCGACTCCACGTGAACTACGTGTGGGCCAGTCCCGCACGTAACATCACGGTGAGTGGCCTTTCTGTTCAATATGGCGTCTATTTGAAAGTTTAATCTTCATCAATACTTTAACCTTCTTTTCCACCGAATAATAAAAAGTATTCTAACATAAAGTACGTCCAGGCTCTGAGGAAGGCGAAGTCGCCGAAACGTCAGCCATCGATCAATAACATCAAGAACAACGACAACGACAACGAAGATCTGTACCAACCTCGCGTCAGCTTAAGAAGATCAGTTTATAAGATCACATAAATAAATACATCAACTCTCTATGCCGAGGTTTATAGAAAGTCAGTCTTTCGACTCGAATGAACAGTTAGAGTACATTAAGTATTACCCGAGAGAAACAGAAAGGAAACTGGTTTCCATTTCTGAACGTCCAAATTAACTTATCCGAAAATGGCCATATTAAGAACCGGTACCAAAAGCGAAGTAGTAGAAACATCTTGGTTAATTACCTCTCCTCTCACCTCTCGTACACAAAAATGGCCTTGTAAGAAACATGTTTCCAACAGCAACCAGCGTGTGCACAGGAAGAGAGCAGAGGTAGGCGTCCCGGAACATGACGCAGCAGATAGCCATTTCTAATACGAAACATTTTTACGAAACTGCAGCTTCTCGAGATAGGTGTCGAGGAAAACCCAAGCCCTCAAACGATAACTCTAGTGAGAATGAAGTCCAATTTATCCTGCCTTCCATTTCCAATGAATTAAGTGCACCTATAAAACTTGCTTTGCTTTAAAATAGCTGATCTGAAGAATTCGGTAACAGTGGCTGAAATACGACCGAGACTCTAAGACACCAGTTAATTCTCAACCCTCTGTGTGACCGTCTATGTGGAACGCAGAGTTGCATAATTTAGTCTAACGGCAGAGACGGTGATCGGGTTAAGTTTATCTGAGCTCTTGTAAAGCGTGCGAGAACGAGTACATTGGCGAAACGGGTAAACAACTCTGCACTCGTATAAAGGAACACCTTTATTACCGAACCGATAAGCTTAAAGTGAAACGAAGCACTCCACTAGGTGCACATAGGACACAGGCATAACGGGGAGAATTTTGAAGTAGAAATTAACACCCTCGCACAGGAATCGAATACAGCAGCACACAAAACTCTCGAAGCATTCTGGATACATTCCAGGAATCCGGAAAGCCGAAATCCACACCATGTGGTCTCTTCATAAGGATGCCATATTGATTACCGAACATTCATTTTACAGGCGCCCGTTTTTGCCTTCGCTCAAAAATTTCAGGGTTAATTAAACTTAGGAACATTTCGCTTAAATCAACAATTCACTTGTTCTGCCACATTACAACTCTGTTATAAATAGCTAATTATTCTAGTTAAAACGCGACTATTAAGTGAACAGTGAGCTTCTCCTACTGAAAAATGAACTGATGAACGAGGTCCAAAGAATCTCAGTGAGAAATCCCTGTGGTTTTTAACCCTAACACTAATAGAACAACCTTGTTTTACTGATATGCTAACACAAGGTTCGCATCGGATATTTATGCGGCCAACATTTCGACATCTTCTTCTTCATCAGAGCCGATGATTCAGGTCGACAGCCCACAGTCGTTGGTCTTCTCGATAAGGCGCCTCCATCATTGTATCAAGTCGAGTCTTCTTCGGTTGAATACCGCTTGGATGAGGCAACCTCCCTCGGTAGCGCTCTTTTATACAGGACGGTTGTTGTTGACAGTGATTATCCTTAGGTAATAATTTGTTTTTCAGCGGGCAATCCATTCTGCAGGGGTCGGCATAAGATGAGCTTGCACGTAACCATGTAATAGCATTGAAACCGACTTTCACTTAACCTCGCTATGTCAACAATGGACCCTATTTCGTTGATAGCCAGCACAACGTTGTTATCAAAAAAACTAGTAGAAGTGTTTAGTTCATCATCGTCAACTCATTTATTGTACGAAGTGGTCCCGCTACGATAATGAAAAATGTGAAGTATTCACATAGTCTCCTTAAGAGTATGCACTTGCTCGAACCATCCTAACTTCCGAATCCACGTATTTTCATCACCACACTACAGTAAAACATCGATAGTTGACTGAAGCCAAACTCGCCTAGATCATGAGTGTCAGGCCTAACGTACCGTGTGGAGGCTCTGGTTAAATTGTTTTCTCAACACAGGCCCGGATGAGCACCTTGGGTAGTACTATACGAAGAGTTGCAGAAAATCGTTTATGTATCTAAGAGTTCTAGAACGGGATATACTTACCGTCCATTGATACACTGTACAACTTGACAGACAACCATAGCTCTAAAAATGTCGACACGCAGCACGTCAAAAACCATCTCCTTGGTAAAACTCAGGCCTGTGTGCGTCTCATCCCGTCGACGACGGTTTTCCGACTTGTGGATTTCCTCGAAGCGACCACTCACGAATAAAATCGCTCGAACATGTATTTCTGAAGAAACGCTTATTGTCCATGTCGTAGGCAAGCCGACAAGCCCATTAAAAGCATTCCCAGATCAAAAATATACGTATAAACCTTGACTGAAAAGGAACCTGCGCGAGATGTCAGTACCCAGCTATTCATAACATGATACACTGTTTTTCTTGAATTTGTAGAACAGTTTTAGGAGATATTGGCAAGATCGCTGTGCAAAAGGAACTGAGTTTCGTCTTACCTTCAGTGTTTGGATCAATCTGAAGATTGGTAGCCGTACAATTCGAAACCACAAGGCGTTGAGAAGTTGGCAAATAGGTGATTGACACATCAAGTTCACCCAAATCCTATAGAATTACACATTCTTTGGAAAATGTGGAAGTCAACAATGAGATTGAAGTTCCAAACTGTCGGTACAGAAACAGAAACAGCTGCTGATCGAGCTACCTACAGGCGTTAGAATTCTCATGGGCAGCTCGAATTCCTGAAATCGTTCAATGGGATTTGTGTCGATCCAATAGTCACATTCCGTTATTCCAACCTGAATTGAGAAAATGAGAACCCCATGGTCGAGCCTTAATCAGGGAAAGTTACCAACTCTTCAGTTACCTCATATTCATCCTTCGCTATGTCACAGAACTGAAGTTTCATGAGAGTATTGTGAAAAACATGCTTGGTGAGTTGACATGAAAAGAACTCATTGAAAATAGTTGTAATACACCGTGGAACCGCCAACGTTCGGTATTCCATGGGATCATGGGCCAAGATCTCCTGAAAACAGGACACAACTACCATGTGTGGGCTGTAAAAGGATTAACGAAACCAATCCGTTAATACAATAGGCGTTGAACAATCCCCTCTGAATACATCATGCATTGTTTTCCATTAAGTGTCGTAGAGCTGATTGCACACCGCGGAGGAATAAGAGATTTGATCAGCACGAGAAGTAGTGTCGAACCAAAGACCACGTGTGTGTCGTAGGGCACTTTTAATTACTCTACTACTCGTCGCTTACTGAATCTTTCTTGCCAATAAAACTGTGCTAATAAAACAGGAAATCATTTCATAGAGTGCTATGAGGTAAACTTCTCGGTGCTTCACACTTAAATTCTCATTTTGAGTCAACATAAATGGTAATATGTATTCGTTCTTTGATGAGCTTACACGAAGTTGGTAATGATGTTTATTTTCGGCTAACGTTTCGACGTCTTCGTCTTCCTCAGAGCCGATGATCCAAGTCGATGGTCCTCACTTGTTATTCGTCTCGACGTGGCAGCTTCGCCTTCGTGTCGAGTCAGGTCTTCTTCAGTGAGCCATCTCTTCGAAGATGAGCCTTGCTTAGTGATACCGAGGTTCAAGGAAAGTCGGTTTCGAAATAAATGGTAATATTGTTTAATATAAATTATATTAATCCTTTTCAGAACTCTACTAGTACACAAGCATACGACAAAAAGAATAGCAAAGCTTATTTGAACACTTAAACATTTACAGTTATCTATTGCCCATATCGTCGCAACTACTTACCGCCTCATCCTAGCTAGGAGTTGTTCCTGGGCGTCGCGCTGCACTGTACAGCGAAGAGATTCATCTCCACTGCACAGGCTCCCAAGCTAAGAAGGAGACCGGCGCTCGCATCAGGAAGCCCAGTCAAGAGTAAACCAATATCAGCGCCGTTCACCACCGTGTTGATATCAAAATAGTCGCATGATGACAAATGTCCCTAACATCCACAGGAGCAGAGACTGCTTCTGGTGGTCACCTGGGGCAGACTTTGGCCCACAATGGTTGAACCAGCAAAACTCCGAAAAATGGGGGTTATGCTGGGGCCCGCAAAACCAATGAAGCCGGGCCATCCAAGTATCCAAGTAAGTACTGCCCATAGACGAAAGTGAAATCACAAAATCTTTTTTCGTCTTCAGAAAAAAAGAAACGAATGAAATGTTTGATTCCAACCTCCCAGCTAATCTCTCGTTTTTTTCCAATCCATGTCTTCCTATTTAGTCCTCTGACGACATACATCACCATGCGAGAGTGTTTAGTTGTTATCGACGGCGTTAACGGCGCATTCGAGACCTGGGCGAGTTGTGTTGAACTGACCACCAGCCGATTTCATCACTTATCTACGGCACTTACCCTTCTGATGTAGAAGTTGAATGTCTCCTCGGCTTCTTTGAATTCAAACGCAATAGTGACTGTTGGTGTTTTGTGTTCCTGCAGCAACATTGAATTCTGTTATTAATACAACAAAGATGACGCTGAGATATTTAAAAAACGGACCGCAGGTGTCCGCGGTTGGAATATCGATAGAAAACTAGCTGAGAGACAGGTGAAACGAAGGAGCCGCATAGTGCGGTGGTGAACGCGTTAGCCCCCAGAATGGCTAATACCGCGTTCACTCCCCACCGCAGACACCTGCGGTCCGGAGTTTCGGAAATAGCATCATCTTGATTGTATTTCACATGATACTGTGCTGTGAAAAATTGTTGCAGGTAGTAAATAAAAAGGTTAAGACTACTATTACTTTTTTACGAATATTACCCAAAAGGTAAAACGAAGTGGTCTTAAAAAGTTCCGTTAGGTTGATTACACAGAGCATAGTAGGACGTGAATTATGAAGCAATGCGCTTAAAACACTTTAAATGAGCATAAATAACAGATAGATGTAAATTTCCTAGATTTTCTTTACAATGATATGCTAAGCATCACCGCATTGTGAGGGATCTCGAGCCGACTAATTGCTAGACTAAATGGCGCACCATTAATGAAGGTAGCTGCGTGAATGCGGGACTCAAGCGAATGGATTGAGATGAGTTTTCCTGTGCTTACTGCGTCAGATTACCTTACAACTTCGTTTCCTACGCATTTGTGGCAGGGTCCATTTATTTACGCGCATTAAGATTCAAAGAAAAGCCTGGTGGTTCCCGAGTATCCTCAATAGAAGAGCATCGTTACAGAACAGCGCAGCAGCCACCGTAGCTCAGCGAACCTCTCGTCGAAAAAGGAACGAAAAGAAAACAAAAAGGTTGTGCTATTTCAAGTGTTCCTTGGTTGAATAGGTTATACGGTGAATGACAGGTGTAAGTGCAGTACTTAGTGGTGTTTCGTCGAATCACTTAGTGATTGATAGATGCAGATAATCCACACTTCGAATGTAGCAATTTCTGGCAACTGCAGCAAATATTTCCAAAATCTAATTTTTCCTTCAAAAACAGCTTCATCTATCTTGCAAAATTCTGCAGGATTTCTGTACGTAATAAAACTCTTAGGTGCTGCTTTCCCACTATAAGACTTGCATAATATCACTATAATGAAGAGTTTATACTGTTTTATCGTAATGTGTCTGCGCGCGAATAGACTTGAATAGACTACGTGAGGATCAGCATTAGCAGGCTAGTGCATAACGGGTAAGACGGCTACCTTCACACACTCGTCACGCGTCGTTTGGAAGAGGAAACAACTCACGTCGTCCGAATCGTCGTAGTCCGCCATGGTCCTACAGCCACGTCAGTCGTCGAAAACGATTCTCGACACGATCAATAGCGGGGCCGAATCTGTTGTTCATCGTCTGCATCCAGTTGGCAGAGCACACATCGTGGAAACTGCTGTGTCTGGATGGAGCCAGCGACAATGTGAAACATCTGCCGTTTTCTCTACGGAATGGATTCTAACAATTTCTTTTCTAACCTGCAGAAATGTTTCTTTATAAGACCTATGTTCGGTGGAAATTTATAAACTGATGAAAACATAACGTTAGTGAAAAATCTTGTTTTGTCGGAATAGTAGGTCATATTAAGAGCTCGTATGCTACAAATAAGTAAATAGACAACTGAACATGTATGTACGCATTACTGTAGCCGATTCATAAGTGGTATCATAATGTCAAAATACACACGATAGGGGATAATGGCTTTCAGCGGTTAGACGTGTCCTGCAATACACACGTGGTTTGTTCCCACGCACCTATTGCATCGGGATGAGGGATCAGCAACTACTATATATGTATACATATATTTACATAAATTTATACATGCATATACACATACATATGTATATGCATATATGTGCAGAGAGGCTACCAAACTAATGATTAATTTTAAGGTCGGTTAGAAACTGGACGTGGGTGCTTGCAAAGGATTGAATGTCCTTAGGGGAGTAGTACAACGGACAGTGGACAATGGCGAAGAATGCGGGGCAGTGACAAATTGTATTTTCACCTTACCTTGTAGTCCGCTACAGTCTTCTTCGTTAAGTATAGTAACGAGCTCATATCAGGAAGTTGTTACAGGTAATGACTAACAGCTGGTGATTTGACCCGTTTTTAGGGGCTCTAGGCAAAGTAAACTTTATGTCTGAGACAGGAGAGTTGAACAGAAGTCGATTTGAAGGCAACAACGCCATTCGGACGTACGCCGCCGACGGAATGCACTTGCGATGAAGCGTTCATATGTACATTGACGTACAACTGAAGCGATTTTTCCAGCTAGGTTGAATTCAACGACGGCTGCGCTCGTTTCTAACAGCTGAGTCAATCGTCTACTTTGTCATATCGCAACTCATAATGGACTCTATAGATTGAAATGAAAACTATCGGAGTCTAGAAACCTGTGCAAATAAGAAACGGATCTTCTCGTTTTATCACGATAGAAACTTAAATTTTTTACGAAAGTTTTAATTTTGAAAAGACTTAAAATAAAGGTCTCACAAAGGAAATGTGATACCTCTTACTGTCTTCTTTTTTAATCTAAAATTGTTATGATGGGTCGTATCGTATAGGATGGCTAGTTATAAGAAAGATCGAAATACGATCAACATATGTAGCAAAACCCTTCCAGATTTTGACAGCTATGTTTGTCAGATGAAGTGTAGTAATATTTTTCCTATATCAGCGACGTTTTACCTTCACATGAATAAGGCGTAGCTTCTTCCAACATTCTGTGATGTTTTCGACCTCACAAGCTCTTTAATTGTCGACAATCTATCGTCTAAATATCCACACATTCGTACCGTCACCATAGCTTCCCGCGGCAATTGCAGACGCAATCAGTGGATGGCGAGAGAAACCACCATTCAAAAGCAGCGAGCTTTCGCTTGACGACCTGAGCATTCATGGTGGAAAGAATAGAGTCCAGGATCTAGCTATATCGGATATGCATTACATATTATGCCTACGATTATGTGCATACCGTACACCGACTTTCATAACAGATGGCTTTTGCTGCTTTCATTGTCACCCTCGTTTTTCCGTTTCCTTTGCTCTCGTCGTTCACTTTTATGTTTATATTTGATGCATGTATAAACATATACATTACAAACTGCAGAGTGTACACTAAATGTTTTTGAGGACAATTTTCAGCATATCGGTTGTGGTTGTAGTAAAAAGACTTCATAGCTGTCTATGAAGACGACCTCCGTTGAGCATATTGACGAATGCATAAGGGAGACCTCTGGGAACACCTGGTAACTCTGAAGAAGTAGTCTGAAGAATTATCTTGCAATCCTAGCGAAAAACTCTCTCCAAGTGTCGAATCCCAGTGAACGGGAAGAAGCCTATCTGTGCCTCTTCACTGGCCACACTATCTGAGCTGCATACTCTCTTCAACAGCAACACCTCCGCCTACGAAATAAACTAGTCCAAAAAAACATTTTTTAACTATTAAGTTGAAAAGTAAGAAAAGAATAAAACTCTTAGCGTTGATGAAACCCTGAGGGACGCGCTATCCATACGACTTAAGTGAACATCGACGGAGGTGACCGGATGCATATTTGGCCTTTACAGTGACTCGCGGTGGCCTACTGACGTATCGAGCGAGGATTACTATCCTCGCAAACAAGTCCGGTACCAATTAGCCGATCACAAAGGGATGGAAGGCCTGGTGGACCTGATGTGCGGAGATCGATTCCGCCTGCAATTCAGGACACCTCCAACTACTGCACCACACGCGTCCCCACCACAACGTTTCCACTGGATAAGCTGCCTATTGATTACAAGAAGTACAGAAAAACTTTTGTGCTCCAAAACAAGTCGGCGGAAAGAAAATGACCTACAGACGCTTTACCGGTCACTTCTGAAGACCAGTGTGATGTCTACAGGTGTCACTCGTAGCGAGAGTGTTAACGACATTGGCACTACACCACCAAATGGAGGAGAGGACTAGTGCAACGCCATGGGAGTTAGGAGATTGGATTTCAGAATGGAATAGCTCGAGCAGGTAAAGGAAGGTATTCATAGGCCTTATGTTCGAGAGTCGTCATTTAAACGAATAATCGAATGTGGGACAACAAATAGGGTGTACCACTGCGTGAGGACTCTACAGTTGGGCAGTGAAATTTTCTACATGCATGGTGGGGAGTAAATAAGTTAAAGGCAGTCTTGGTTACAGGTGTAGTATTAATGTTATCCCTATTTGGTTCAATTACCCGAGCTTGAGAAAAACACACCTCCTCTGATCCACATCGTGGTGAAGACCTGGATACGCCCTCGCAAGGTTACGTCGGGACTCCAGGGCACGAGCAGCAATAGTCCAGCCTCAGTACCGCACACTGGGTGCTCCCGTCTATGACGTCAAGAGGTGAGACCACCGGTGAAAGGACAGAAAATCTCTGGTTACGCAGGACGTCATTGGAACCGGATCTGACGAACATACGCACGACACGCAATGGAGACTGTTTCTTACTATGCACGTATAATGCCAGAACACTCTCCACAGACGCCGATCTCCACGCCCTTCTTGTAGCCGCAGATCGCCTTAAATTTCATGTGATCGCATTACAAGAAACGAGAATCAAGAAGACCGACATACGCCAACTAAACAACGGGACCTTTGTGATCCGCGGAGAAAAGGTTCCGTCACGAAATGTCGGTGGCGTAGGCTTTGTTGTCCACCCGTCCGTTGTCCATCTCGTCGACTCATAAGTGATCCTTTTCCCTCGCATAGCAGTCCTCCGTCTTCAACTGTCGCATCATAAGATAATCACTATCATCAACTGCTACTCACCGACCGCCGCAGCTGATGAGCACGAATTAAATGTTTTTCTACTATCAGTTGGAGGAAGTCATCCGCAATGATAAAGTGTATCGTAAATTTATTGCTGGAGACTTCAACGCCAGAATAGGAAACGCCAACGGGAGCGAATACAGAATCGGAAATTTTGGATTAGAAGAAAGAAATGAGAATGGGAACGGTGTCACAGGACTCTCGTCAGCAGCACGTCTCTTCCATGGAAACTCGTTTTCCAGAAGAAGGAAAGCCGCCGCTGGACTTGGGAGTCTCCCAACGGCATTACCCATGCGGAGATCGACCACATTCTGACAAATGGAAGATGGTGCCTACTTGACACATCGGTAGTCCCGCCAATCTGTACTGGCCCCGATCACCGCCTTCTTCGCGCGAAGATTCCATTCAGCCGTAAGCAAGCTAGAAAAGAACTCTCTTCATCGATGACGAGGAAAAAGCCTAGCTGTATACTACGAGAACATTCTAGACGAGGTCCTGTCCAAACGTGACTAGCAGATTAAATAAGAACCAACCGAAGACTACGAGCTGCTTGTTGAAGGACTGAAAAGCTGTGCCGAATTTGCTTCAGATCCTCAAGCAAGCAGATCGGATCGCATCTCCATCACTACTAAGTCGCCGACCAACTGAAGGACCCGAAAATCTGCGCCCATTTCTTCTTTTCTGCGGTCCTCCCAGCGCTATATTATGCTGCTGAGAAGTGGGTTGGTACTTCAACTACGTCAAGAGTGCTTCGAACTACTCACAGAGCGCTTGAGCGATGTCTTCTGAAATATAACCGGCACTCTCAATATGTAGCCGGAATGCGAAGCTTTGACCTTCGAAATCTGTCACACCTTCAAGATCCAGGAGAATATACATCGACAGCGAAACATGGATGAGCCGGTCACATAATGAGAAAAACAGTCGACAGATGGACGAAAAGAACAGTAGAGTGGACTTCAAGAGAATGCAAACGTCCCCTTGGACGACTACCTACACTTTGGGCGGACGTGTTGGTAAACAAAGTTAATCGGCTGTACCCGTAGCTGCAGTTGTTTTACAGATGACGGTATGAGACTCGTAATCGCTACCATGCTCGAGCAGGACCGTCTCCATGGACTACGATTGCGAGAGAAAGGAACGAATGGCATACGTGCTGGAGCCCGCACAATTCGTGAAGACGGGGCGTCCAGGTATCCAAGTAAATATTTGACTTAAAGTTCGGCTTAGTTGCTTTCGCAAGAGCCCAGATGATTTGAAGGACGAAAATGCCTATTCTTCAGAAGATTCAAAAATCGGAATAGAGGAATATGATTCACTTTGTTGTACGACCACCTTGACAAAAGGAAGTAAGGAAGTCGGACGACTTAAACTTGTGAAGACGCTGAGTCTCAACAATCGAGCTTATCCGTTGTGGTGCTTGCTCCTTTCCGTAGATTTGAGGAATCCGGTTGTCAAAAACCATTTCAACGAATTCTTGAGGATCCTGGTAACTTTCTCATGTTGAGACGTTTGTTTCTGCCTCTGTCATCTTTATCAAAACAACCAGTTCAGCAGAGTCGCTGTCATTCCGGACGTCTCCGGGCAGCGAGAGACCAGCATAATCGCAAAATGCCTAGCCTAAACGAAAAATAGATAAATCCGCGACGAAATAAACCACTCCAATAAGACTAGGATCTTTCAAACAGTTGACAGGGTAGGCTGGATGTTTGAAAATCCTCGAAAACTTTTCCTAGTGCGGTTTTTGTCACTGCAAATGTCCACCTTCTCCGAGCGGAGTTATAAATTATGTGGTCAACCGCAACCTCACTTCAAAATACCACATAATTTGTAGTTTATACACCTTAGCTTCAACATCACCCCCATCAGAGATATCCACCAGTCCAGAGGGGCACTGACGACGTCAAAAATATGCGTGACATTTTGTGGAGGACGTAACTACACACTTGAGAATCCTATCTACGAATTGGGTTTCAGAGTGCTGTTAATGTGGTTGCTAAAGTACGTTAAGAGTTTAACCTTAATTGGTAAAGAATGTTAATGGCTGTGTTAGTATTTGTTCTGTTGGTGTGAAATCACTGGTAACTTGTTTGGGTTTTCTTTCTTCATTGTTTATTTCAGTCACGTTGATCAGTATGTCATTGACGATTAACATAGGAGTCGAAGTAATGAGGTAAAGAAGTAATGAGTTCTAAAAGACCGTTGTAAAAGTCAGAAACCCGTATTGCTGATTGATTTGCGAAGTAGACAGATGTAAGCTCTACAGCTTAAATAGTTTATTCATTTTAAGAACGATGTGGGCATCTCTCAACACACCGGCTTCTTTGCTGGTGTCACCTAGCCCTTGTAGTCCAACTTTTCATTTCCCTGCTTTGCGTATCAAATGGTTTGTGGTAGTGCAAGTTGTTCTAAAGTTCGTAGGAGCGCAGTTTATGAGCTAAAATTTGGAATTTTTTCCTTTCGGTTCACTGAACTTGTTAGTAGAGATTATGTTTGCTTTCCCATTTTTGGTGCACTGTTTAAAGGAAGTTTTTCAACTAATTTCTCAAGTCCATGTCTTTGTAAACAGTGCTTACGTTCATTTTTCAGAGATATTATGGACGATAACGACCTGTTTGGAGCTATTGAATCAGTCAGAAGCGACAGCATTTCTTCTGTCCCGGTGGCACATCCAGTTGACAAGATGTCTTCTGTACAGTATTATTCCAAGATTTGCAGCACTGTTGTAACTGTTAGTAGTACATCTTTGTCAGTACAGTCGTACCAAAAGTTTGCAGCTGGATGCAGCTCGTCAGGAAGAAGCACGAAGACAGGCAACTTCCCTCCTCAATTCTATGTTTCAAGGTGATTGCGGTGACTCCGTAGAACCGGCTGTTAAACGGGTGACTCCATACGCCTCATATAAATCACAATCATACATTTCAAGTATTTTGCAGTTCTGAGAACTCAAAATAATTTTTATTGTCCAGTTCAAAGAGGATGAAATGCTTCCAGAAGAAATTCGAGAAACCTTTGAAAGAAGAGTTACGTTGCATACTATTCAAACAGACAATGAGAATTGTTGTGCCCATGAGGTACGTCTTTGACTTGTTTCCAATAGTCGTAGCATTTTCAGTACTTCATCTGTGTCTATGTAGCACTGCCTCCCGACATGCCGTTTGAGCTGTTGGTTACCAGAGATGTGGTTGCGGCGAAAAGCTATACCTTCTCGTTGGATGCGTTTCAACGAGAGGCAATCACTTGTATTGAGAATAATCAATCCGTTCTTGTTTCTGCTCATACTTTTGCTGGAAAGACTGTTGTTGCCCTGTAAGCATGTTTCTCTTGTACACTGGAGAAATGTGTTACAGTTTTGTTGAAATCTCATAGTTTTTATAGATATGCCATAGCCCAATCGTTGCGAAGCAAGCAAAGTGTGATCTATACATCTCCAGTCAAAGCCTTGTCAAACCAGAAGTTTCGAGAATTGGAAGAGGAATTTGGAGACGTCGTTCTTATGACAGATTAGTTGTTCAACTTAATTTGCTTTCCCATGTGTGATTTGTATCCCGAATGTGGTTGTGTATACTGCATATGCAGTAAGAATTCTATACAATTAGTTTATGGGACAGCTTACTTACTTGATACTTGAACAGCCCGTCCTCACTGGTTGTGCGAGCACCAGCATAATCTCCATTTTTTCGGAGATTTGCTGGTTTAACCATTGTGGTCCCCTGGAACCGGGCAGTTGCTGCCTTTGTGGATCAGAGGGAGATTCGCCACCATGCGCCTGGTTTGGTACCAGGACGGTGGTGGATCCTGGGGTTGGTTTACTCTTAGCTAGGCTTCTTGATGGAAACATGGAAACGTCGGAGTTTTTCTCAGCTTGGAAGATCCTGTCGGGGGGCGAATCCCACAGCTGTACACCGCAGTCCAACCATCCAGGAACACCTCCTTGTCGGGATGAGGCGGTAAACCTTTGGGAGGGACATGTTGGAGTATGGAACAACTACTCTTTAAATTCATACTAAGGACTACACAACCAACGTAAGAGGTTACACAATGCAGCTTTCCATATAGGGACGCGTGTAGTGCAGTGGTCGGAGGCGCCTTGCAATACAGTACACGTGAGATCGATCCCCTCGCTACAGGATCACCAAACCCTCCATCCCTCGTGGGTCGGCAAAATGGTACCGGACTTGTCTAGGAGGATAGCAGAACTGGCTCGATACATCGGTCAACGTTTAACGATGCTTAGATGAAGTCGAATTCATGGCGCATCCTTTAAGGATAGAGCAGCGCCGGGAGCTTTATCCATCATCCTTTGCTTTTCCATATTTTCCATTATCTTCCCGTCTTCTCATTGTTATGTTCATCACGGCGATCAGCTGTTGACTGAGTGATACTAGTCACTACTAATTATTATCCGTGTTGAGTACTACTTATTCATAGTTGAGTATGAAGATGCGGTTGAAGGAAAAGCTCTACCTTTCTCTGTTCGAGCTTACCATCGGCGTTTTAGTCTCTTCCATTATCTGTAGAATCGAACCGACTAATTTGGTGAGCTGAAATCGTGCAGGTTTCGTAATCTAAGTTCTTTCGAAGTCAACACTGTTGGTTTTTCCGTTTTAGAATCTTCATTTTTTTCCGAGTAGATCTCATTCACTGAAATACAGAATTCCTATGTACCAGTAAAACTACAGTTGTTTTTACATTTAAGTGTCATTTGAAAGTGTTCACTACGGCATCTCAAACTAGGCACTTATTTTTGTAGTCGCATAGTTTCTAAGGATAATGGAATACTAAGAAAAGGGTAAAGCTCTCGGCGTTGACCAATTAAGCATCGTTGGAGAGAGTTGAATGTATATTTGGACTTTACAATAACTCGCGGTGGCCTACCGATGTATCGATCTAGTGCCGCTGTCCTCCCAGACGAGTCGTACCAATTTCCCGATCCCGGAGAGATGGAAGGCTTGGTGCTCCAAGGGCTCGGAAATCGACCCCATATGTATTGCAGGGCGCCTTCGACCACTGTGGCACATGCCACCTTTACTTTATATTATGAAAAAATATTTAAAATATTTTGGTTTTCTCTTCTTGAAGAAATTATTAGCAGTTGTTTTCGAGTTACCCATTCTCAATTCAAATTACTTAAGAGTTCTGTGCACTATAGCCCTTTGTAATATTTTCGGCAGCATCTGATTGTCAACCTATCGGTTTTTTTTGTTTAGATTTTTAACAAATATGCACCATAGACGTATCTAATAACATCACTCGGTTCTTTAGTTTTGTCGTTACTCTGATAGTCCATCGTGAATATAACACTAACAGGTGACGTAACTCTGAATGCTGAAGCATCCTGCATTGTCATGACAACTGAGATCCTGCGGTCTATGCTGTACAAAGGCTCTGAAGTGATGAAAGAAGTGGGTTGGGTGCTCTTCGATGAAATCCATTACATGAGAGACAAAGGTTGGCTTCTACTTGTTGCTATTTTCGGTTATTCGTACTCCTTTATAAAGTCCCAAGGAAAAGTTGCATATTATAGAACGTGGAGTTGTTTGGGAGGAATCTATCATTCTTCTGCCAGACAACGTTCACGATGTATTTCTGTCGGCTACCATTCCAAACGCGCGGCAATTTGCACGTATGCAGAACTCTTTACTCTCGCATTTTGTAAATATCTAATCTAAAAATTCAACCGCAATGTTGTTGAGGAATGAACTATGCTCGGTTCCTCAGTTCGGCTTCGAAATCTCCATTACCTTTCCTAGGGGCTCACGCGCTATCCGCTGCACCACGAAAGACCTTGCTTTGCCTTTTTCTGAGCAAGTTCTTTTTAGCGTAACGTTGCCATCAGGAGTGATCCCTCAGCGGGAATGGTTTGGGTAGCACAAATCGGCATTGAACCCAGTTAAGTTGAAGTCGAAATCACAATGGTTCACTTTTATTTGGTTACTGCCTATTATTTTTTTGATGCCAGGATGCTATATGAACCACAATGATGCTGAGATATAAACAAAATTGGGAACCTCAGGTTTCCTTCATACCAACGATTACTCTTTCTCGAGACCTATATGCTATACACTAGACCACCCAAGCCCTGCCTTAAACCAAATCTTTTCGGCCTAATCTGAAAACGTTTGACAAATAGATGAGTGTCGTATTGACTACTACCTTCACTAACTTAGTTTTCTCTTATCTAGAAACTAAACCTGGGCACTATTTTTCCTTTTTGAGAATTGGTGTGTTGGTTGCATAGGCAGCCAGTGCATGTCGTGTACACGGATTACCGGCCTACTCCACTTCAGCATCTCATCTTTCCTGTGGGAGGTGAAGGACTATATGAAGTTGTCAACGTCCAGGCTAGTATTGATATTTTTATCTAATCTCACGCATATATACGCAATTACATACATATTTGTTCACTTTAGGGTCAATTTCTTGAAGACAAGTTCACAGAAGCAATTAGTGGATCAGAGGCGCTGGGTGACAAAGTGGAAGGAGGTATTCAGAGAGGTCGTAAAAGTGGAATGAAGAGTACGTCTTGATATCTCCTATGTTTGATTTGAGCGTACTTCTAGCAAGGTGGTTCTGTCATTTACTCGTGCGGAGTCGTTAGAAATGAAAGTTAAACTGATCTTGTGAGATTCTGTATACGACTCTTCATAAAACTTTTTAGCCGATTCTAACGTAGTGAAGATAATTTTAACTATCAAAGAACGTTCAATGTTGCCGTGCATCATATTCTCTTTTAGTAGGAAGGAGTGTGAGGCGTATGCTCTTTCTCTCAAGAATATGGATTTTAACGATGGTCAGTTCATTTCATTATCAAATTTTCTGGATAGATCTATCTATGAATAGCCCACTTTTATCTGTTGAAGCAATTTAAAGGTCTCTGCTTTATTACTGTCATCTGGATATTCGGAAAAGAACCATCCATGTTTTTATTTAGATGAAGAGAAGACATTGGTTCGCGAAATTTATAGTAGTGCTGTCAGCCTTCTAAAAGATGACGATAAGAAGATTCCTCAAATAGGACAGGTACTGGGTTTTTGCTTTGCTGCTTTCAGGATTTTTTTTCTCCGATTTTTGTCCCTTCCTTGATGTGCTTAATGTCATTTTAATTCCAAGATACTTCCTTTATTATTGCGTGGCATTGGTGTTCATCGCTCAGGATAAATGCCAATTCTAAAAGAACCTGTGGAGATATTGCTTGGAGAAGGTCTGTTGAAGGTTGGTCTTAAAATTATACTGAACTCTCCGTGACAAAGTTGTAGTGTGTTGTTTTTTCTTTTCTTATTTGAAAAGAACATCTTCCTCACGTTCCAAGTAGACTTTGTTTGCCACTGAGACGTTCTCGATGGGTTTGAACATGCCAGCTAGAACAGTTCTGTTCACGTCAGCCCGTAAATTCGACGGTGTTAATAGCAGGTATTTGAAGATTTTTCCAATTCTTCATTTCTGCAATGATGCTGAGATATTCGCAAAACTTGGACCCGAGCTAGATCGAACAACGACTACACTTTCCGGGAGCTCACGTATTATACTCTGCAACAGTGAGGCCCTTGCTTTGCGTTTCTCTCAGCTATTTTTCTACCTAACGCTGCCATCAGCAATCATCCGTCAGCGGGATTGATCTGGGGAGCACAAATCCGCATTGAACCCAGGTTTATCTAATTAACATAGTTTAGTTAATTAGTTAGTGAAACCAGTCTCCACTTCTGGTTTTAGTTTAAAATACACTTCCATTCTGGTTCTCGAAAACTTCCAATATTTTATCGAATACTAGAATAATTGTGTTTAGAGTTTAGTAGACTAATATCGGCGTTGTGCCATCGCTTTAAGGGTACAAATAAGTTTTGTGAAATCATCGTTTAATTTGAAGTGCGGTTGAAACTGAAGTTAGAGGGAAACCCAGAGCCGAAATTTTAAATTCTTAAATTTTTTCACTCGAGCGCGGTATGCGTAAACATCAAGAATACCTTATAGCGTATCACTGTGTTCTGTTTCATGAAATCCCAATTGTTCAGTCGCTTTGATGTTCGAAACAAAATCCACAATAAACAGATTTTTTTACAATATGCATTTCACGAGCTCCAAAGTAGAATTTTGTCACCTTAGGACAAAAAACAGCGACGAGATGGGCGCGTGTAGCGGAGTGGTCGGAGGTGCTCTGCAAATACACATGGAATCGATCCGCGGCCGCCAAGCCCACCAAGCCTTCCATTCCTCTGGGGTCGGCAAATTGGTAGCAGACTTATCTGGTAGGATAGCAGCGCTGGTTCGACACGTCGATAGGCCACCGCGAGTCATTGCAAAGGCCAGATATGCATTTAATCACCTCCAAACGATGCTTAGTGAAGTCGAATGCGTTGCGCATCCCTAAGGGATTGGTCAGCGCCGAGAGGTTTATCCTTTATCTTTTTTTAGGACAAAAAAAGTTCTATCCGGTTGGTAAAAACTGCAAGCTCTAGTGTTGTTTCAGTATCAATAAAGCTATCATTATGAGCGTAGTTGTCTTTATCCAAATTTGAGAGTTTGTTTTTGAGTTTGTAGCACTTGTCCACAAATACCAATGCATGTCGGTTATTGTTGGGTAAAACAGCTTCTTTATTTTGGTTAAATAGGTGGATCACTTTTGGTAAATATATCCAAATGTCCGGTCGAGCTGGTTGACGAGGAAAGGATGATCGTGGTTTGGTAATTATGATGGTCGATCACAAAATGACTAGTGACGACGCTAAACAAATCATAAAGGTCAGGTTTTTATTGCATTCCTAGTCTCTCAGATTGATGTCCGTGTAATACATCCTATTGGGCAGTTTTTCCAGTGTTTTCCTTTAAAGTACACTATGCTTATCGCTCGAAGTTCTTTAGACATTCAATGCAGTTCTGTATACTTTTTATATTTTGTATGCAAACTTTTTTGCCCTTACATTACGGTGAACTCTGTTTCGCACAGACGACAAATATTTTTAAATATTCTTTTGTTGTTAAGCTAACATGTGATCGATAAAGAAATTTATTCGACTAACTTTTCCGCACCTTTGACTTCCTTAGAGCCGGATTGTCCATAGCTCTTCCTTCCTCCGATGTGGGTCTTCGTGATCGCATCGAGTTGAATCCGGTGGAGCATCACTCGAATGGGAACCTCACTCGTCAGTGCTGTTTGGTACAGGACGATTGTTTTTGATGTTGTTTATCCGTTGATAACAACGTCTTTTTCTCTGGACAATCCATTCTACAATAGTCGGTGTCATTATCAGCTAGCACAGAGCATAACGATATTTCAAAAACTCCCTTTATTTTACCCTCAGTATTACTAATCAGCATGTATTCTCTCATTGATGAGCTAAAACGAGGTAAGAAAAGGAAATTTATTTGGCTAATGTTGTTTTCTAACTATCAGCAACAATGAGAAGTGCGCGTGTAGCGCAGTGGTCGGAGGTGTCTTGCAATACGCATGAAATTGATCCCGCGCACAAGGCTCACCAGGCCTTCCATCCATCTGGGGTCGGCAAATTATTTAATACCAGACTTGTCTGGGATGATAGCAGCATTACTCGATACATCGATACGCTACCGTAAGTCACTGTATAGGTTAGATATGCGTACATTCACCTCTAACGATGCTTGATGAAGTCGAATGTATGGCGCAAACCTCAGGCATTGATCAACGCCAAGAGTTTTATCCGTTATCCTTTATCAACGACAACCGTCCTCTATAAAAGAGCACCGCCCAGTGAGGTTCTTTATTCGAGCGGTCGGTGGTCCACTGGATTCGACTTGTTGCAGTCACGGAGACCCGCATTAGGAGAAGGAATAACTGTGAACAGTCCACTCGGCTGAATCCGGCTCTGATGAGGGTGACGCCGCCAAAACGTTACTTAGATAAATTTCTCTATCGACCTCGTTTTATCTTGCTACTGAAATACATGTTGATAATATTATTGAGGCTAAACGAAAGTCAGTTTCTGAAACATTTCTTAGATCTTGCTTTTTATAGGGAGCGACGGATCCACTCAATTCACAATTTCGTCTCACCTACAATATGGTGTTGAACTTACTTCGAGTGGAAGGAGTCAATCCAGAGTTTATGTTGGAGCGGTCTTTCTATCAATTTCAGAACTTCGACGCTATTCCAGAACTACAACGAAGTGTGTTGCTTTTTTTGATTGTTTCTTAATTCCTCACTCTATTTTATACAACTTTACCAGATTTCTTCATCCAAATTCTGACCACTTAGTTAAGGTTAGCAATAGTTAGCTTACATTAATAGTAGTTAACCCTGCTTGAAGCATTATACATATGAAGATACAATTTTAAGTATTCGCTCTTTGCTAATTAAGAGGAGGTGCCTGATGTTTTAATGTAAACGTATTAACTGTAATGAGTTCTTACCTACGTTAAGAACAAAGTGATGTGTTAAACCTTGATTCCAGTTTTTCATCCATCGTGAACTCAATTTCAATTATCATTCACTGTATATGGCATGTACTGCTGCGTCATTTATTACTAAAGTTTTCTGGCTTTAGTTTTAAAAATGAGATGAATAAAATTCAACCATTATGATGCTGAGATATTTGCAAAACCTGGACCCCAGACCAGATCTTTCCGCGGCAACTCTTTCCAGGGGCTCACGTGATACGCACGGCACCATTGAGGCCTTTGTCTTGCGTTTCTCTTGGCCAGTTTTTTACCTAGTACAGCCATCAGCAATTATCCGTCAACGGGAATAATTTGGGAGAGGAACTCGATGATAAGTCTAGTTAAGACTAGGCTGGGTAATCGCGATTCGATCTGGCCTGAGGTACAAGTTTTGCAAATATCTCAACACTATAGTGGTTGCATTTTACATCATACCTGCTGTGAAAAATAATACTAGGCAGCAAATAAAAAGTTAACATTAAAATGAATGAGTTGCAAAGATTTATAACTGCTGTCTAAAAGTGGATGAAAAATTGTACGAAGCGGACAACATGTGTGTAGAGCATGAACGCGATGTAACAGCGTTATTCGATATGGAGAAGCAGATAGTGTTTTTTACTCGTCTTGCTCGGGCTCTTATAGTTTTGGGTTTACATGTACCATTTTAACTTATTTTTCTTTACTAGTCTTTTTTACTGTTCGATTTATACCTGCAGATTGTGAACCTCCGGAAAAAAAATCAAGAAAACAATGCACATGCCAAGTGCCTTTCCTGCATGTTGGTAGAATGCTCCATGTATGGTTTTATCTCTTTATATGTCTAGATAACACATGAAGAATGCTGTTCATAGTTTGTGAATCTGTTCTACTTTTACAGATAGTTGTTGGTAGCCGAGATTTTGGTTGGGCAGTTTTTGTGAGCTTCTATAAGAAAATTGATATAGACGACATCACGCAGATGGTGTACATCCTCGAAGTAATTATTTCTTTCTTGTTTTATAAATCGATGCTCTAATCACTTTTCTCAGGTGTTGATGGAATACAAAAGCGACAGCATTAATGACGTCGTTAGCTTAACTCAAATTCAACCAGCAACTGAAGGAGCACCAGTGCGTTATCTTTGCAAAACCCACCACACATTTCCTTCTTTTTTGGATTTTGAAATCTACTTAGACGTCATTTGATCTCGTATCTCTAACTTTGGATTGTGTCGATGAAATCAGTTTCCTTCGTTTAAAGCTGCCACCAAAATTGGATTCAGATCTCTCCGAAAGTGTTGTCCAGAAGATGGTTAAGGTGATTCGAAAGTTTTTTTCGTTACTAATTCTTCTGTATCATGCTTGTTTCCTTTAATTCGATATTGTACTAACGTAATTCTACACTGTTTAGAGTTTAGAGTTTGAAATCGCGATTTCACAATAATATCCCTCTTCTGGATCCCATCAAAGACATGCATATCTCCGAGGCGTCACTCATTCATGCTGTTGAAAAAGTCGCTGAATTGGAAGAACGTAGTAAAGAGCTTCCGTTGCGGAAAATGAAGAATTTTAACGATATCAAGACGCAGTGGCCTTCTAAGGTTTCTTGCAAATTCGTTCCGCAATCCTTGCGACTATGTAAGGTCAAATATTAGGTGTTAATGTAGAAGATTTCCATGGTTATATGTTCGCTACAGAGATGGCTTATCACATGATTTTACTCTCAGGATCAAGCAAAACAACAATATAAGACTCTCTGTGAGGAGTTACGAAAAGCACAATCAGTACTGCAGCTAGAGGAACTTGGTCATAGAAAAAGATTGCTCCGCCGTCTTGTATGTGAAACAGTCACTTATCAGTATTCATGTATCCTTTATCAGAATTCGATGTTCTTAGTAATGACGACCGTGCTGGTTTTCTGACTAAAGTAATAGATTGTTCAGAAATTATTACACGATTTCAACATGCGTCTCAAAAATAACGCGTCTCGGCTCAGAATGAACTTTTTTAATCAGGATAAGAAGCATTAAAATCAACACATTTTTGTAAACGGGGAACAAGTTTATAAGTCTCGATTACATGTAACTCTATAGCTCTGCAAGCGAGTAAGCCGTTCAGTGCAGTCTCAGCCTGTGTTTTTTACTGAGGCATTTCTTGGACATGACGTTGTCAAGGTGCTTGAAGAAGTGGCAGTCCGGGGACGATAGTTGCGAAAATTATGATGGATTTTATCGTGGGGAAGAATGTTTCTTTTTATTGGTCACATACATTGAAACAAAAGGTGTATTTCATCGATTTTCAAGACGCAATCCGTAGCAGTAATCATTTAAAACGGATTTATAAAGCTCTTATGGATCAAAAACTCCCAACGCTTTACCGCTTCATTGTGTCTAGGAAGTGTTCCTGGATGCCGGACTGCGATGTACAGCGGGGGGATTCATCCCACCGGCAGGGTCTTCTAAACTGAGGTAAAGTCCGACGTTTCCATCAGGAAGCCTAGATAACAGTAAACGGATACTAGGATCGACCACTGTCCTGGTATCAAATGAGTCGCATAATGACAAATACTCTTTGATCTACAGGAGCGGCGACTGCCTCTGGTGCGAACTGGGGCAGACTTTGACCAAGTTGACCTTGGGACTCCAGAAAAACAATAGCTAAACCAGCAAAGCTCCTAGAAATGGAGATCATGCTGAGGCTAGCACAACTAGTGAGGACGGGCCGTCTAAGTATCCAACATGAATCAAAACAGCAGTAGACCGACCACTAAATGGTCAGCATCATCCTCTTTCGGTCCAAGTTCGGCTTTCGGAAGTGCTGCGGAGCTTTATTGTGGTTCAAACACTGAGGCGATCGTCTCCAGTTCTTGTATTGGATCTACTTTTCGTGGGGTGTTCGAGAAACGTTGTTCTGGATGCGAAGAGGAAGCTCCGACAATGCCCGGACACGGCGATCTTTTTTAGTGTCATTCGTGCGGCTTATATTTCCTGATTTCTTTTGTCCAATTTTCTTTAGTCTCTCTGAAACAGATAAGATGCATATAACGAGTTCTTTTGCAAACTTGAGAACACTTATGAATCTTCACGCTTCTATCAAAGCCTTAATTCATTGTCGTGGAGGAATGTCTGCGACTTCCCTCATCTTCAACGTCAAATTCGCCATGAGGAAATTTGTAAACGAACGTCGCTTTGTGCATTCGCTAACACTGCGTTGGTCGCACCTATATCTTATTAATGTTTTTAGCTGTCTACGGTCATTCAAGACGATGGAGTTTGAATTTGTGGAATTAGATTCGTCGGATTTGCTATTTTGACGTTTTGAATTCCAACCTTCAAATTTTGCCAAAAGAATGATTTGTACGATAATTCAAATACACAGTGAAGATGAATAAAACAGACGTTTATTATTATATAATAATACAGCATATGAAAAAGAAACATTCCTAAAGCGTATACAAAAGATAGAATTGCAAATCGATCATTATTCTTTGAATAATTCAGTACTTTAGGGATTGGGACTTAAAAAAAACGTAAGAATGGACCTTCTTATCGTCTAACAAGCGTAAGAAGGGACCTTGTTATTGCCTATGCTTTTGTTAAAACTGAGGCCATACCAGAGAAAGGTGTTCTCGAGGCGCTGCTATACTTGCGAAATTCCGTTTCTGGATGCTGGGATTGGATTCGTGGATATAAAAAAACATGAAAGAAACACAGAAGTACACTTCAGTTATCGTACAAAGCCGTTAGGAACACCGTGTTTAGACAATGGACTTTTTTCTCATCATGCACAAGAGTTAGTTGTGGTCTAGGAACATGGGAACATACACACAGTAAAATATTGTGTAATAACGGGTACTTAGAAGCTGGAATGACGCGGAGTGTGAGTGGACCGAACGATAGAGCAATAACTTCAAGTAACTGCACCATTTGACTTTGTTTTTTCATGGTTGTCGCTCCGGAATACCATCCTGTCCTTTAATATACATATTGATTAGTCACACCGAGGTTTAGAGAAAGTCGGTTTCGAAATATTATTACTACGCTTTGTACTAGCTGATAATACACCGACCTCTGCACGATGTGCGCAATGATGTATGTCCGGAAGAAATACAAGTTGTTACCACCGGGCATTGTCATTATATATCCACCATCAGCATCGTGTATAAAAGGGCATCACTGAGTGAGGATGCCTCATTCGAGAAGATGGCTCACTGAGGAAGATCTGGCTCGACACGAAGGCGAAGACGCAACGTCGAGACGAACAACAAGCATGGACCATCGACTAGGATCACCGGCTCTGAGGAAGACGAAGACGTCGAAACGTTAGCCGAAAATAAATATATTTATCAACCTCGTGCAAGCTTATCAAGAAAGAATACATGTTGATAAGACTATCACCACGCCTCTCCATGTTATGCACTTGATTGCGGAAAAGTTTTACGATCATGAAAGTTTTGTTCACTATGCAAGAGCGTTTGACAGCATATGAACCAATCCTGTTCTATCAGCTCTCGTCGGCCAAGGAGTTTACCAATCGTTTGTAGACAATGGAAGTGCAGTTCTTTTATCGACGCTTTACAGTTTTTGTAGGAAAATGGGTTCCATAACGCGATACCGTTATCGCCAAAACTGCTTACGGCCTACATGCACTGGAAAATGTCACTAGCTTGCGATGAGGAGGACGTACGCATTGATGGAAAATTCTTGCAAAATCTTCGTTTTACTGATGATATTGTCATCTTCACGAGTAGTGCCACTGAAGCAAAGACGATGCTCAGTGAGCTCTACGAAGTGGAAGATTAAAAAAGTTTGGATCGCGCATAAATAGGACGAAGACCCACCCGATTCACAAAGAACCCATGGTGAATGCGAAAAAATCAACCTGAATCAATTGCAGAGACCACTTTGTACTTGTACTTTGGATGTTCAGCAAACATGGAGAATACCATGAAAGAGAAGTTATACATAAGGTGTGCATCACAAGCTGGATTCGGACCTCTCGAAGAAACTACGAATCACTTACGCAGCAGAACACCACCACTGGTGACAACTGCGCGAAAAGAAAGAGTGAAGAATGAGCTGAAGCGCGCAGCAATCGTAAAGACGGTAACCAATTATCTAAGCATCAATTTCCTAAGAGAATACGAAGAGCAATTAACCTTCATCTACTATACAGTGAAGTTCTACACTTACATCGGACACTTGTGCAATCACGATAAGGAAACAAGTCATTGAGGAGAAATCTTTGTTTGTGTCAGCAAATTTTAGGAAATTGTTCTCTTATACTCCATAAGTTTGCGAAAGATGTGAAATATTTAGAATTCCTGTATATATCCTTATCTTAAAACTTTGAGGGGCGTTGTGCCTGTGAACTCTCTGCTACCGATGAGCTGTTGTTCACTGAAATGTTTTACGGAGGAGTATTCACAGACCTTACATCTGCTCAAATCGCCGCCCTTCTATCTTGTTTTGTGTTTCAGGTTTGTGGTAAATTTTTTCACCATTTAGAATATGGGTGTAGTTCTTCATTAGGCCTCTTTTTCTCTTTTTTTTACTTTGTGAACAATTTCTTCAACGTTTTACTATAGGGGTGTTCGTATGAATGCACAAGTCGTTTAGGAAAACGCAAAAACTCCTAAATTAGCTGAGGAGCTGTTCGATTGTCTTCGAAAACTTCATGTGAGTGTATTTTTCACCACCAAGATTTATGTGGTCTTCTTCGAATGGCGCTACCGTACTACTGGCGGAGTTCTTTTTAAGTTTTCATCTGGTGTTGTCCCACGCCAGTCACGTCTTAAACGAAAATGTTCTGGTTACGAACTACTTCATTTCTGCACGGACGGTTTTGTTTTTTCACTGACTCGCGATACCGTACATATATCCATGTTCAGCTACCGTACGGAACTCTACAGGGTGCCAAATTATCTGAAAAGTTAGATTAATGGCTATGTTTTCGGTGTAATTTGCTCAACACTACAGGTCGCATTCTCTCATTTGTATCATTTGAATTCCTAACTGTTGTCAAGGATGGCGTGTGTGGCGCAGTGGTTGGAGGCGGCACTGTGACACACACGTGGAATCGATCTTCGCGCCCATGGTTCATCAAGCTTTCCATCCCTCCGGGGTTGGCAAATTGGTACCAGACTTGTCTGGAAAGATAGCAGCACTGGCTCGTTACATCGGTAGGCCACCGCGAGTCATTGTAAAGCCCAGATATGCATTCAATCACCTCCAACGATACTTAATGAAGTCGAATGTATGGTGCATCCCTCAGTGATTGATCAATACCGAGAGCTTTATCCCTTATCCTTTAACTGTTTTTAACAGTTTTGTACTAAGAGATCGAGCAAGGAAACAACTTTTGTAAAAACTGTGTTTTTAGGAGTACGCTCGACGGATTGCTAAGTTGTCTGTTGAGTGTAAACTTGATATCATTGAAGACAAATATGTTGAATCCTTCAAACCAGGAATGATAGACGTCGTCTACGAATGGGTCAATGGCGTCTCATTTGAAGAGATCATAAAGAATTCTGATATATTTGAAGGTAAACACCTTTGGTCTCGATGTTAAATCATGGGGGTTGTTGAACAGCTAGTACCAGTAGACCATCCTCAATAATAACTAGTCGCGGCTGACTCAAGGCTGCGCTGTGTCGTGAGCGCGGATCTATCAGTTAACCTCTCTATAATGTGCCGCTCGTGGCCAGCTATCCCGCTGCGACCGGACTACATTCAGTTGTTATCCATGATGAATTGAACCGCTGTTCTAAGACATATTAGTCGGTCCATCAAACAGGCGTCTCTTAATGGCAAACCGATGAAGTGTCATTAACCTATTATTGTTAGGAGTTGAAAACAGTTTAGTAAATACTATTATTTATTTAAGGCACATATGATTCAAATAGCTTGGTTGTTCTTCTCTTTAGGCTCGATCATTCGATGTCTTCGTCGACTAGAAGAGGTTCTTAGAGAGATGGTAAATGTGGCGAAGGCGATGCAGAATCCGGAACTCGAAGAGAAATTTTAAGAAGCTCGCCATCGAATCAAGAGAGATATTGTGTTTGCTGCTTCTTTATATCTCTAAACTTCCGTTGTCTCTCCTAGTCAGGTATTGCAGCATATAATATCAACGCGTGTTCGCTCATTGTCTGTCCATTCTTTGTCGGATGAATGTGCGCGTCCATTTCACTTTCTGCGTAACATTTTCTTTTCCTGTTTTTTCTTTCTACCTCGAACCCTTTTTTTCCTTAGTATCGGTGTCATCTATATTAGCTATTCCATTTGTTTTTCTTTTATTCTTTTAGTTTCAGATTGTTGCTTTGAATTTACAATGTCAATCGAATGTTCGTTACTATTTATGTCCTTCTTAATGCCCAGTGCTATGACTCAAGAGTTTCCGGGTATGTTTTTTTTGCTAATGAGTCGTGATGGTTATTACTAGTCCCACCAAATAAATGATGCAACGACTTGTTCCTCACTTATTCCAACCAAATATTAGTCATGGCAAGGAATTATGTGGAATAGAAGCTTGTATCTCATCTAAGTGAATGGTATTTTATTTGGGCGAAAGATTTTCTTCTCGAAATTCTTTGGAAATTAAGCTGAGTTATACCCGATGGAACTATCATATTCTCTTAGTTCGACAGAAACGCAATGGATATATTCCAGGTGTCGATGCTCAACTAGAACCATTCGACGTCCCATTGTCTGATCTTGAAAAAGACACCGAACCTGTGACGACATTGAAGGAGCAGTGTTCACGATTCCTGAATCATTATAGGTGTTAAAGATTGGTTGCTGAAAAGTTGAATTTAGTGTCCACCGTATACGTGGAAAGTGGTTGATCGGTTTTCATTTCCTACTTTGCAGATACTTCTGTCGTACATCTAATATTGCAACATACAACGAGGAGGTTCGAATTATCTGCGAGCGATACAGAACCTACTGTTCGGATCGAGTTTATCCTTCCATAAATCATGTATGTGATCGATTTCTTCAGGTTATGGTAGTGAATATTACTAGACGTCATTCTAGTTTCGTTCGATCTCATGGGTTTTAGGTGCTCACGCAATTTAAACCAAAATCCAGAATTTCATATCCTCCAACTTAATTTAAACCTGATTGTTTGCTTGAGTGAAATGTTCTGAAAAGCTCGAGAAGCTGAGCTTCAGAACAGAACATAACTGTGGTGAAAGCCAGTGTTTGATGGTACCTAGTGTCCGTAATCGGACTAACTGCGTTTGCATAGGTCTAGTTTAAACCTTAAGTGTCAAATTGAAACTGGACGCTTTTTGCATTGCTCTTATTATTGTATTTGTCTACCCAAATTATTTCTGTACTCGACCTAGATTCGACGACAGATTTCATTCTGGAAGCATTCCGGACTTCCAGTTGGTGCTCAAAAAGCGCTAACGAGATGTTATTCACACTGTAAGGAAACGGATCCTGTGTCAGTTTTTGTCATGTTTTCCATAACGGCAAAATCTTTTTTTTTTTTTACTACAGTTGTGTAAATGCATGCGAATGCCTACATTTGCAATGGGTGATGAACTACGAATGTTACCCTGGGATTCGAGCTCCGGCAGGTCCTAATTGTCAAAGGTTTCTGGTTTTTTCTCTATGTTAATTCACATCCTAATATCCCATTAAATCTAAAAACCAATATTTTTTAACGAATATTTGGTAAAAGCAAGTACCTTTTTGTCGAGAAGATAAACTCTGTGTGATGCAGTTTATTCAACTTAACTTGAAGAGTATTCAAGGCTCGTCTCTCGGAAGAAATATGCATGGATTCCCAGAGATATTAGGAAAGTTTTCAAGTTTATTAATTGAAAGAATAATAGTGGTACTAACAACTGAGTGTTTAATTCCACTTTTTTTGCAATTAGTATTGTCAGTGTATGAATGCCACAGTGTCATCTTTTCATTAAGGCGCTTACGGGAAATAAAAAAGAACCACTTAGTCAACTCATGCACTGTTCCCGTCAAGTCGAGGCCATTCGTAATGGATCGCTTAGTCGGCCTGTCTTAATATCGTTTTTCGTATTCCTGGCTTCCTTTTGGAGTCTATCATGGATTTTTGACTCCTTAAAGATTGAGAAAGCGAGGTGTCGTGTAATAATTTGTTGAAGAAATACCCTGGGTCTGTCATACTATAATTCAACTGCTCATACGTCGGGTATACAGTTATTGAGCCCCGATAACAAATCGCAATTGTAGTATTAGCTTCAGTTGCTAAGTGTGTGTGTGGTGTGTGTGTATGTGTTTGTGTTTGTATGTGTGTGTGTATGTTTGTGTATGTGTGTATATGTATGTGTAAGTCAGTTCGTTACCTATCTGAGCTGCCCCTGCACACTTTTCCGGTCGCGATCATTCATGTGCGCGAGTTTTCTTTTCTGTCGTCGTCCATCTGTTCTACGGCAATTTCGCGCGCTCGACAATACGAGTGATATGTCATAAAACGGTTGACATCGTCCTAGTTTAATTACCCAAGCCAGTGCCCATCTTAGAGCAACATATGATCGCTCATGCAATTACGCTCTCCGACAGTGTGGCTGGCGAGCAGTGCAGTAAATGCCATCCAGAAAAGCCATAGTTAGGATTCATCAAGCTAAGTGAAAATGATTCTTAGGAAATTGCGACATCATTTACTTACTTCCTAGGAATTGTTCATCTTGTTCTCAATAGCACCATCTTTCTGATTTTCTTGATATTTGTGGAAATTTAAGTCGTTTAAATTATAGAGGCTTTGGCCGCCCTGTCCTCTGGGGTTCGTGCTTTTTCCATATTTTCTTCATTTTTTGAAAGTAAACTTCTCAACATGATTAGTGAATGGAAATTAATATCACAAGTTCTACTTGCTGTGCTAATTTAACATTCAAAGATGGAGAATGTTGTAATCAAAGTGCTTCACTATATTCATTTTATAGTGTCAAAGACCTTCAATGTTGTGTTGATCTCAGGGCTCCATCCCTGTTGCTTTTTCTGTTTTACACTTGGAAATTTTTTTAGATGGGCACAAAAGTGCCGGGCAGTTTGGAAGCCGCTACCCGACTACACACCCTCTGATTTCACCGAAATGGCTCCTTGGCCACTTGTTAGAGGCCAATTCTACGGATACGATGCTTTAGGTGTTTATGCCTTATAGCCCTTATATCGTAGAAAGTTGTACATAGAAGGTCTCGAGGTCTCGAATAAGTTAGAAGTGTAGTAATGCAGGATGTTTTATCGACATTATGTAGTAAAGTTCGCTGCATCGTCAGGCAATTATCGTACCTTCAATCGCCCACGCGAACACGGTGTATCATTTTATCGCGGCACGAACACTGTTCTAGTCGATTGGCCCGAAGGTACATCCCAGCAAATTAGACAGGCTCCTCAGTGAGCTTTATATCTATTCAGGCTTTTATTCGTTTCAGGAAAGGTCTCCAGTGCTTCTGTGATCGAAGTCCCAGCTGTTGGTGTTAATGTTATCTATAACGCGCTTGATGTTGGGTTTCCAAATCCTCGAAGAACTCTCAGCGATCTTACAAAGTGAGTAAAATTTCCTACTCTCGGTAAACAGTTTTATCTATAAGTTTCTAGGGAGAATCTGGCTCCGCTTAATCAAGGAACTGGCAGGAAGAAGAGTATGATGGCAGTAATTAGACGGACATAGTTGAATTATTGTAACATTGTTGTAATTGAAATAAAGCGGTTTCATGGAATTATAGGCAATGATAGCAGTGCTGACAGGTTTCCGCGTCTGCGCACTAACATTTTCAATTTTCTTCTCCAGCTCCGTGCTAGTCGTCCCTCTAATTGAGTATTGTGCCCTCGCTCTTGAGCCTAGCAATCAACCGTGAGGCTTTATGACTTGGTTAACTAACATGTTTATCGCACTTGACCTAATATTTGTGCATTCTCCGTGTACGGTAACGAGATGCTATAAGCAACTACTTTTGTTGAAAAGGTCCGAATTCTATCAATAGAATGGCATGGTGATCCTAGTCTGTAAAATTCGAGAATTCGCTGCGGAGAATTCCTTCTCTGTGCCTCTCTGTTTTTCTCTCTTTCTGTGCTCGCCATTGAAAATGAAGATGTAGTTACGATGATCTTTATGGAGATGTAAAAATTCACACCTAGTTATCAAGGAGCAAGAAACTTGTTGTCATTTCCAGTATTTTGAAAAGAATTTCCATGTAGCATTTCCAGCAAGTTGTGATGTTGTTTTCTTTGGAGAGGAAAGTTCTCGTTGACGATGGTCATGAGGACTCAACATGTCTCGCTCGCAGTTGTCTACCAAGTTGAAGGTGTGCAGCTGTCAAGCCATTTTCTGGATGTGCTTTCAGTTACATACGAGTCATTGCACGATTCGCGTTGTGCGCAAAGCCTAGCCGCCACACTGTCTGTCCGCTTACGTGTGTGGCCTGTCAGCAGAAATAAAATCACTCAACCGAGAAGAATTGTGCGAAGTTTTCACAGTAGCCGACCATCCGTCTAGCGTAAAATCTCCCTCATCAAAAAGCCGTAGTCGTCTTTTCATGTTCACCGCGACATTGTGTGTCTTGTACGATAGCGTCTGTAAAACCGTTTCAAAATGAGATGTAAAGAACTAACGGTTTCCAACCTATGGGAATTTGCTCTTTAATTAGCAATTAGTGAAATCTAACAGAATTCGCACTAAACTAAAGGTCCTCGCCAAGGAGAAGTTTTTTTAGAAGCATATGTCCCATCTAATCTTAAAACTCCATATTATATTCTCTGTATGATCATCTCTGCTGGTTGTGGGGTAATTTAGACGAAGGAGGTTGGTAGAAGTCGTTTACTACGACTGTGAGGGGTCGTTTGAATGATTGCGTTGTGGTTTTGGCCACCGTACCGGTTTTTCTTCGAATCACTTGCACAACATCTTTGGGTACTCTAGGTGTTTTTGCTGAACTGATTCAGAATCATTTGAAAAGTAGGAACAAACGATCATTTTAACACTATTGCTCACACCTGTAACGTATTTAAATGCATTGAAAAAAAGGAGCCATCAATTGTTCTGCATCCATTGAAAAAGGTAGAAGGTGAAGGACGTTCATGAAAAATTGTTTGTAGTAAGATAAAAGAGTTTTCGCGCAAGAACCCCCGCGGCTCGCAGAAACCGCACTTTACCACCGGCGCTCCTCCCACCTATACCGTAAACCAGCTGCGTGATTGGCTGAAGCGAGTTACCCCGCCCATGCGAATTCGTTCGAGTTCAACGAGTCACACTAAATAGTGTCTCCACTCAAATATTGCCGGAGTCTTTGATTCATACCCATTATTTGAAATGCCTCGACCGGGAAAAGATTCCTACGACGAACAGGTGATATCTTGTTTATTCTCTTACTGTTTAGCAATTCTTGTAAATCTTTGGGAAACAAAAAGTGTGCACAAATTGGAATTCTCGTTTATCAAATTGTATAATTATTGTTGTCCTTGTTCCTTAAAATAGCTTCTATAAAGGCCATAGCGCTTCAGAAACCACCCTATTCTTACATTTGGTTAACTTATATGGCGATCCAGAACTCTGAGGAAAAAATGCTTCCGTTAACAGACATTTACAAATTCATTATGGACAAGTTTCCCTTCTACAGAAAAAACACGCAAAGGTTGGTGGTTCCGCACATTTAACTTTTAATGTTAAAAACGTTTTTTAGGCTCAATCCTAGTTAGAGCTTTTTCAGGTGGCAGAACTCATTGCGTCATAATCTTTCATTTAACGACTGTTTTATTAAAATTCCCCGCCGACCTGATCGTCCTGGAAAGGTGAGAATTTTAACTTTATCGGAAGCATTAAGCGATTGTGCTCACTTGGTGTCTCATTGTTGGTCTAGTGTTTGGTAGTTGATAGTGATGGAAAAACTATGAAAGTTCTTATTAGTCCTCTACTGCTACCCATTGTCTCTTACGACTTGATATTTCTTCAAGATTACCCTTTTCCTGAGAAGGCCATCTCAGCTTTACTGAAAAAGCAGGAGCCTCTTTCTTCATATTTCACGTTTCATTATCTCAAAAAGTTTCGACGAACACTAACAAGTTGACTTGAAGGTTTTAACTGTTTACCTACTTTAAAAATAGTTCTCGAAATTCTTGTTGAGCAAACACGAGGTGTTACTTTATTCTTTATTCCGATGAATTGACGTTTCGGCAGTATCGTCTTCTTCATAGCCAACCGTATCGCTCAACAAGAATATCGAGAATTATTTTATCAATGCCGGGGTTAATAGAAAGTCGGATATAAAAATTATTTTTAAAATGTTTTTATGGGATACAAGGTCATTTTATTGCATCACTTCAACCTAGTCACTTAATTGACGGATAAAACCACGGTGTCGAACATGAGTGTTATTCATAGAGCTCGTATATTAATATCTCAACTCTTTCTTGAAGTGAAAACAATTGTTTAGTAGAAATCAGACCAGTGAAGCTACACTTTTAGGGTTCATACTGGGCTGTCCATCCGAACGCACTCGGCATGTTCGAGAACGGCAGTTGCTTGCGAAGGAGGAAACGATTCAAGGTATGTAAACCACCTTTCTTCAATTACTCACACCAGTACAAATATAATGCACTCGTTCTTTCGATTCAGCACTGTATGCCAAGCTCTTAAAATTATCATGAACATCATCTGGTGCTTCACATAGTCATAAAGTGTTTCACAGCGTAATTACTGATTTTCTGTTTGGTGAGCGAGAGCATTTCCAAGTTACGGTGAGCTTGTGTTGATCAATCTTGCCTACCACCTACCGTACCTCGTGTACTATAGCATTAAGAATCGTTTACGACACGAAAACTCGTTAATGAATGTGTGATTAGCAGCGATTCATCGGCGAATGAATAACCGATTCGCTGACAAGTGGAGTTTGTTCATTGTAGTATCGCCGCGATATTTGAAAAAACTGCCCCAGTTGTATCGTGTCTCCCCCTTGCATTTAATCAAATGGTCGAAGTTCTTCGCCAAGCAACTCGAATGAGAGATGTAATCAATCACAAGCCACACCACATTCATACCGTATACTTTTTTGTAAACATTTGCCAGTCATCGACTTCCGTTTTTCTTGCCTTCTCCCTACTGTTTTGTAATCTATATTCTTTCTTCGTTCATACCGTTTAATAGCTAGTACACCTCCTTGCTAGTATTGAACGGCCATTTCGGCGGCAATAAAACGACGCTAGATAGTATTTAAAACGGTCATGAATTTTTAACTCATTCCGAAAACAAAGGGGATTCGGCCTTTAACGTTGTTCTCTATTGTTGGGCTGATTGGTGGCATGAATTACTGCAGTCTTTGAAAAAACTACTAGTAGGCCACCAAATCTCCTTTTACCCAGAGGGCTGGTTGGTGATCGCCTGTAGTGGTGTGCTTAGAAAGCTCAGCACGGCTACCTCAGAATTTTACAGAAATAACGTTCGGCTAGCATCCAACAAGAAAATAATGAGACGAGGTGGCAGGCAAGCTCAAGTCGTTGCCTATCCAGCACAAACCCGCACAACCCTGTACGGCCAAAAGTTGTAAGACAACAATATGAGTATAGGAGCCACAAGATATGTGAGGACAGGCCATCTATAGGTCCATTCCCTGGCTCCATCTTCCTTACTTATTTTCTCTCTTCCTCCCTCTCATTCTCTCTATCTATTTGCCTCTTCTTCTCTCTTTATAATACTCTTGTCCGCCTACATCTTTTTCACAGAAAACCGCTTCTTTCGTAAGCACAAGAACTATGCTGTTTTGCACCGCTTCCCTTAGCCTCGTTGTCGCGCAGTAAATTCATTTTCAACACTGAGTACACCATTTCCAACCTAATCGAGTTTTTCCATTCTATCTGAGTCGTCGAATTTGAACTGAGACGACTTCATTAATCCTATACTAATCCTGTACTATACGGACCTAAACTGAGCGCTCCGACCGATGAATCGGAAAAATGTCGTTTTTTGGGGGAAGACGTTTCCTCCAGAATATACGGTCACTCAACGATGTTTTATTGTTATTTTATGTAACCGCCTCTCCATACTTCTTTCCATTTCGCACTTTTCTGCTTGTTAAATTTCAGTCGTTTCATTACTCTTCCATGCTTATGTACTATTCAAAGATTTGTACTATTAACGATCAGTATCAGATCATTAGCTAATATCTATTCCGATTATATAACAATTTTACATTTTATTAACTACACTGGACATATTACACAGCTGGTCCAATAATTTAGCGGAACAGCTTTTGCGGAGTTCGTTCCCGGACGTTTTGCAGATTTTTTCTACATCTACTACGGTGTGTTTGTATTCCTCCTCATTTATGAAGCTGATTATAAGCACGACGTAAAACTCTGGCTCATTTTCGCACAAAAGCCCTGCTGTTACTGTATACCTAACGTCCTTACTTCCGACTCTTATCAATCAAATTAGACTTTTTACGCAAGTATAGCCTTTCGTAAATTGGGAAAAGGAATAAACAAAAAAATAAAACAAATAAAAAGTGAACCGAAGCTTTTGATAACCGTCAAGGTTTGACGGTCTTGGCCTTTTGACACTGACGACTCTGAACTACAAAGCTGACCTGACACTGTGAAAGCTCCATAGAGGAATTTTGATATAATAAGAATTGAACTCATATTTTTCCTTATTTGAATTACCTTGGCGGTTATTAATCTCAGAAGTATCTTAAAGCAATGAACTAACCGGGGACATTATGCTAAGCTGTGTTATCCATGCTGTAGACACTTGTCAACCAGGAAGTCGTCTTTTCCAACCGTTCCACATCGTTGATGTTTGAAATATCCATTTTTAAAATATTTCCTCGAATAACTTCTTGGCGATCAAATCCGAATAACATAAACGTTCACTTGTACAGTGGTGGTTGAAGCTGACCAGGCCATAGACAACTTATGAAAAAGGAGTATTTGCCTAATACAAGGATGAACAAGAGATGGTGGAGAAATGATCTAGTTCGATCGTACGCACTAGATTACAAAGCTACCAATGAAATAGCGGAAGTGTAGTGGGATAAAGGATAATGAGTTTGGCGCTGATCGATTCATTAGGGTTGCGCAGCGCATCTTACTTTCTTGAACACCCTGTAGATAACAAAATGTATATTTGGCGTATGGAATGAAAAATTAGCTCGTTGGCCGTTGACACCTAGCCGAATCTACTACCCTGTATGTGCTTCACGAGGCCTCTCACTGCTATGTTACATGCGTCCATTGGAACGGTAAAGGTTTAAATCCTTACTTTTCAAGACTTTTTTCTGCATAACTTCTTAATAAACGAGAAATATTTAGTCTCGTTGGTAAGCTCACAGAGGTTTTTAGCCACAATAAAAATTTTCTCCAAGTTTATACACGATTATTAATACCTACTTACTTGGACTGAAGGGGCGCGTGTGGCGACCCGTGGAGGCGCCACTGCAACACATACGTGGAATCGATCTCCGCGCACACCAAGCCTTTCATCCCTCCGGAATCGCCAAGCTGGTACCAGACTTGCCTGGGGGGTAGCAGCATTTGCTCGATACAATGGTAGACCACCGCGAGTCATTGTAAAGGTCGGATATGCATTCAATCACCTCCAACGATACTTAATGAAGTCGAATGCATGGCGCATCCCTCAGGAATTGATCAACGCCGAGCTTTGTCCTTTTATCCTTTTTACTTGAACTGGCTGGCCCGTGTGGACTCGAGCAAAATTTCCATTTTTCAGAGTTTTGCTGGCTTAGTCAGTGTTGTTGCCTGGAGTCTCGTGTTCAGCCTAGCCAAAGTCTGCCCCAGGTCGTCACCACCACAGACAGTCGCTGCCTTTGTGGATCAGAGGAATATTTGCCACCATGCGACTAGTTTGATACTAGGACGGTGGCACATCCTGGTATTGGTTTACAGGCTTGCTAATGGAAACGCCGGGCTCCTCGACTTGGCGGACCCTGCTGGGAAGATTGATCCTCTGTTCTGTAATATATCATAGGGCGACACTTAGGAACACCTACCAGCTACGATGTAAAACCGTGTGAAGGGCACGCTTAATAATAATGCAAACAAAATCGGATTTGGTTTCTCTACGTGTGTCATTCTAAAGCCCATTATATTTCCAAATATAATTTTCTGAATATTGCCGAATATTATACTATATTATAACGAATAGCGGACTTCAGTGTATGAGCACGAAATTGATCAGCGTATTTAAGGTAGACAGCATGCCCAAGTCCGTTACAGTAATAGCGCTAAAAAGTTTCTAGAGTTCCGTTATGCCTTCTCAACGCCGTCTCAACGCTGCCAGCAAGAAGACTATTGCAAAAATGTAGAAAATAATGTAAAAGTCATTCAGGTAGAAGTTGGCGTGTAGAGCTTCCACCGATTCTTGAAATAGCAGTTTCTTATTTGGGCTAGTTATTCATAAAACTCGACTTTTTTAAAAAAATACATGTGTCGAAGAGAGACACAGTTATGATTATTTAAAAATTTCAGCAGAGAAGAACAATAGGAAATAAAAAAGTGAAAGAGAAGTGAAAGAGAAGTGAATGAAACGGAGAGGAAGTGGATTGAAAACTGATGACTGAAAATCCAATTCGTTCAGCTAAATGACCCTCCCACTACACTTCAGTATTAAATAAAGGATACATACGAGCTATTGGAAATTTTGCGAAACATACTTACTTGCGAGGCTCTTGAAAACAAGACTATCAATTTTTTCTGGTTTCTGTTTCTTTATTTAATGGTGACATAAGCACTTGTGCACTGCATCTCCCTTGGACCTGCGCCTTAATTCTGATGGTTTATCGTGTCCTGCGAAGTGGATGTAGGGCTCAGCTTTGTCCCCTCGATTCCAGCTTTTCGACTTAATAGGAATGGACAGTATAACGCAGACTAATGCATATAAGTGTGTATATGCACGACCACTACTTTATAGTACCTATGCGCTGCAGCGGGCAAAGCGGGATCGTTCCTTGAATTTTATCTCTTTACGGACACCTGCATGTTCACTTTTCGTCGATGTTCATGCTCTCTTAAGCCATATGTAGAAGCACCATGTAGTTTGTCGACTAGCTGAATCGAGATTCGAAGCATGAAGAAAAGCCGTGAAGTTGAATACTTGAGTAGCCGGTCTCCACAAAAAATCCTTCGCAGCGCGATTTTCGTTTTGAAGTAACTGCTTCCTGGACAAGATTTTCTTACCGTACTTTCTCCAAACAACGGCGTGTCTGGCGCAGTGGTTGGAGGCGCCACTGCGACACACACTGTGGAACCGACCCCGCGCCCATGGCCCACAAAGTCCTCCATCTCTCCGGGGTCGGCAAATTAGTATCAGACTTGTCTGGGAGGATAGCGGCACTTGATCGATACATCGATAGGTCACCGCGAGTCATTGTAAAGGCCAGATATGCATTCAATCACCTCCAACGATACTTAATGAAGTCGAAGGCATGACGCATCACTCAGCGATTGATCAACGCTTAGAGCTCTGTCCTTTTTTATTTATACTTTCTCGAAACAACGATTCTAATACTTACTTAAGTCGCAAAGCCAAATCCTTGGCGGCCTTTGTCAATTCAAGAGTGATTTTCTTCCTAGACTAGGCTACTACTTGTGTGGCGGGATTTCAGGCAATGGTGTAATGTTAAT